TGCTGCTGCTGCTGCTGCTGCTGCTGCTGCTGCTACTACCACTACTACCACTGCCACTACTACTACTACTACTACTACTACTACTACTACTAAATTAATTTTATTTGTATAGCGCATATCCCCGCTCGACAGCAAGGTCTGTGCGCTTTACACTACATGTATATTATTACCCCAGCAGACCATACAACACTCAGACACATTCTCAGCTTCCCGGGAAGCATATAGTGCAGGCAGCTGATTGGTTAAGCACTCAAACCCTAACAAATTGACAAGTTCTTTCACAGTCTATATCTGGGTACCCATTCCCACCTGGGTTAAGTGAGGAACATTCATGTAAAGTGCTTATCCCAAGGACACAACGTCGAGCTCCTGGTGGGATTCGAACCTACGACTTTACGGTTGCAAGTCTGAGAGCCTAATCACTAATCATCATCATCATCAGAATCATCAAGGCCATGATTATTGGGCAATAGCTGTAAATACGAATTTGCCATTGTCGACTGGACAAGTATCAATATTCCCCAGTGCCAATTGGGCATTTCTTTTGTGAACATTTTTGTAAGTCATATTCAGCTGACACTAAGAAAAGAACTATTGGGAGATACGATTTTGTCTAATAGGAGCACCAATAGCAATTATCTCTCTCTCTCTCTCTCTCTCTCTCTCTCTCTCTCTCTCTCTCTCTCTCTCTCTCGTTCCCCAACTCTCCCTCTCATTCTCTCCCTCTCTCTCTCGCTCCCCAACTTTCTCTCTCTCGCTCCCCAACTTTCTCTCTTTCATTCTCTCTCTCCCTCCGCTCTCCCCCAAATTCCTTGACACTGCACTACATCAAATCTATAGTTCAACTCAACCCTTTCCCCGGGAAAAGAAACAACTTCGTTCCCTGGAGCGGTATCACTTACCCATATCAGAGAAATCGTCCACCAGAATGACCTCCTTGAGCAGATGGGCGGGCGTCCGGTCTATGACGCTGTGCACTGTGCGAAGTAACACTGACCACGCCTCGTTGTGGAAGCAGATGACCACACTGGTGTCCGGCAGCCGGTCATGGTACGACATGCTCTTGCACCTGGAGGAAAGATACAATCAATCGTGAGAAACTGTTAGTGTTTTACTGCCATTTGCAAGTTCGGTTTCGTTTTGGGAAACGCTCGCACAAATGAGATCATTTCGGAGGCAGGATGCTTCGACCCAGCTTGTTAGAGCCAATTCAGCATGAGCAGGACACAGTATCCCAGCAGCAGACAGACGATCGAAGATACTTATTTTTTTTCTTTAAAAAAAAAGCTTCCTTACTTGGGAATCAAACGCATGTCTTCCGCGTGCTACGGCAAAGAGAGCTAACTGCTCCAACATAAACATTGGCAAGAGATGAGGTGAGGCAGGAGAAACAGAATGGGTACAAAAAAACAAACTGACATTTCGTGTGTGTAGAGCGCTTTCCTTGACAGAGTGGGAGACCCACATAATAGAGCGTTGGAGACTGTATTTGAGAGGACAAAACTCTCGGTCCATACATCGGAACAAACGAGACGGAGGAGGGACTGTGTACATAGAAATGTGTATCACTATTGCGTTGTGGTAGCGGATTGGGAGTCGTATCAAAATATCAAGATTTGAGAGGAATTTTTAGAGCCGAAATGATCTCGCTGACTGAAGCATTTCATACCGCTTGTACACCTATATCGAACGTCCTGTTCTAATGCCTTCTGTCATGATGAATCAGTCTACTTTCTTCTTCACCACACCTCTG